CACAGGCCTGCGTGACTGTAGGCTCAGATCACAGACCTGCGTGACTAGGCTCAGATCACAGACCTGTGTGACTCTAGGCTCAGATCACAGGCCTGTGTGACTCTAGGCTCAGATCACAGGCCTGTGTGACTCTAGGCTCAGCTCACAGGCCTGCGTGACTAGGCTCAGATCACAGGCCTGCGTGACTCTCAGATCACAGACCTGTGTGACTCTAGGCTCAGATCACAGACCTGTATGACTCTAGGCTCAGATCACATGCCTGTTTGACTAGGCTCAGCTCACAGGTAATTGGTGCCAGGGTATAAAGTCATTTCTGCCAGTATGCTTACATTAATGGAAAATACCAAAATCATTGATAGGGAAACAGGTATCTTAGACTAGTGATGACAGTGTCACAACATACCAAACCTTATGGGGCGCAGCAAAAGTGGTTCTGAGAGGGGATTTTAGGGTAGAAATGACTACTTTAGGTAAAAGGCAGCTGGAGCCCGGTGGTGGTGGCATGTCTTCGTTCCCAGCGGCCATCACGGGCTCCTTGCAGCCACTCACCCCCTGTCCCCAGCGGCTCTTCTCATCACAAGCCTCTTGAACAGACCAAGCACAGAGCTGTGCTTGATTAACAGAATCTTTCCAGTTTCTCCCTGATGAGTTGAGAGTGCACTGGACTTGCAGAGAGGAGCACAGGACGCGTTCGCCTCTCGGCGTTTGAAGGGCTCTTGTGTGACTGGCAGGCAGCCATGTGCTGCGCGTACCCGCGGGCGAGCAGTCTGCTCTCAGAGCTGACTGTGTGGCGTGGATGGCAGGTGTGAGGCCAAAACGCCCGCCACAGAGAAGCATGAGGGTGGCCTTGTAGGGTCCACAGAGGGAGGCATGGCAAGGCTGATGAGGGGTAGGCTGATAGTACGCCCTCTGTCCCTCTGTCCCTGCAGTCTGCCCTTCCCAGAGTCACTGCTGAGGAATGGATGCTACCTGTCCATCTCTGCCTCTGCCCTTGGCAGGTCTTCCCTCCTGGCACTTGGTGCTTTGCTCTGACACTTACTTAGGAGGAGGAAGCTAGACTTGCAGTGCTACAAACCTTCTGTTCCACAGCATTCACATTCACATACCCCCCTTTCTGAAGCCCTCCGGCCTTGTGCGTGTGGTGGGTTTGGGACGTCTCCAGTGGGGTTAGGTCTTGTGCGTGTGGTGGATTTGGGGCGTCTCCAGTGGGGTTAGATCTTGTGTGTGTGGTGGATTTGGGGCGTCTCCAGTGGGGTTAGATCTTGTGTGTGTGGTGGGTTTGGGGCATCTCCAGTGAGGTTCGATATTGTGCGTGTGGTGGGTTTGGGGCGTCTCCAGTGGGGTTAGGTCTTGTGCGTGTGGTAGGTTTGGGGCGTCTCCAGTGGGGTTAGGTCTTGTGCGTGTGGTGGGTTTGGGGCGTCTCCAGTGGGGTTAGATCTTGTGCGTGTGGTGGATTTGGGGCGTCTCCAGTGGGGTTAGATCTTGTGTGTGTAGTGGGTTTGGGGCATCTCCAGTGGGGTTAGAACTTGGCTGGCCTCTCCCAAGGCCAGCCTGTGAGTCATCGATGGCTTCCCAGCTGGCTTAGGGGTGGGTTTGTATTGGCTGGCGAACTCTTTCAGGACCCTAGAGGAGGGACGCTTTCCCTGCACCAGGGGACTCCCCAGCCTCCAGTAGCATGCCTTCCCCTTCCCATATTTGTAGCTGCCCTCTTTGTAGCCGTTTATAATCACGTGACTGTGAGAATCAAGTGACAACAGGCTTTGTGCCCTTGGAATGAAGCTTTTCTTAAAACCTTACCCTGTAAGAACATGAAGCTTACTTACTTTCTCTCTCTCTTTCTTTCTTTCTCTCTCTTTTTTCTTTCCGTCTCTCCCTCCTTCCCTCCCTTACCCTGTAAGAACATGAAGCTTTTCCTTCCTTCCTTCCTTCCTTCCTTCCTTCCTTCCTTCCTTCCTTCCTTCCTTCCTTCTTTCTCTTTCTTTCTCTCTCTCTTTCTCTCTCTCTTTCTTTCTTTCTTTTTTTCTTTCTTTCTTTCTTTCTTCCTTTCTTTCTTCCTTTCTTTCTTTCTTTTCTTTCTTTCGAACTCTGGGCCTGGGAGCTGTCCTTCAGCTTAAGCTGTACCACTTGAGCCACAGCACCACTTCCAGTTTTCTGAGTGGTCTATTAAAGAGTCTCATGGACTTTTCCTGCTGGAAAAGTCAGATCTCAGCCTCCTGAGTAGCTAGGATGACAGGCGTGAGCTGCTGGTGGCCGGCAGAAGCTTATTTTCTAAAGCAAAGCAGTTCTGCCTTCTGTGTCTTCCAGATGTTGAAAGTAACTTCTGCCACCATTGGGACTCATTTTGTCTTTTCTTTTGTAGTCTAGTGAGGAAGGAGCCTTGTCTCCAGGAAGTGCCTCCCTAGCCCCTCCCTGGCAGGTGAGAAGGATAGCGCACCATCAGAAGTGCCGCCTCCCTCCCTCTAGCTCACGCAGCGGCGCCCATAGTCCTCCGGGAAGATGCCCTTGCAGGGCTGGGTCTGCTAAAGGAAAGTCTGGTCACACGTGTTTCACTGTGTTTCACTGTGAGGCTTCCTGTGCTGTCGGAGGGATGGAGGTGAGTGTGGACTTCACTGTCTGGTCTTTCCAGTCTTGGAATTAATATTCATTTGTATGCACACACATATTTTGCTAAGCCAAAAAACCAGTAAAAAATGTATTGATGTGGAAAGTGAGTTTTCAGGGGCTCCCTAGCCATGAGATGAGCATGTCAGTGTTCCGGAGCAGCGTGGGCCAAGCATGCTGGGACCCAGCATTTCAGACAGATGGGGATGGGCCGGGACAGACTTACTTCATAGACCGCCATGAACACCAGGGTGTGTGTGTATGTGTGTGTGTGTGTGTGTGTGTACAACAGGCTCACTGAAAATGCCCCAGAAAGCACCAGAATAGCGTGTGCATGTATGGCTGACGGCATGCAGATGGGTGGACAGCACTGGGCCTGTGTGTGCTGTGATTCAGTACCGGTGCTCTGGGTAGCAGGGCACTGCTGGCACTCCGTGAGCTGCACTGAGCAGCTGAGGGCCCGTTCTGTAATGAGCCAGTGCCATTACGTGCCTGTGCATCCGACTGCCTCCCTGTCAGCACTGTCTGTGTCGACCTTGGCAGGCGTATCACTTGGCTCACCAGTCCAGCGTTGCTCAGGAGTGTCCAGGATTGAAATTGCTGCAATCCTGGGGACTGGACGCAGGGACTATCTCTGTTCAGGTGAAACCTGCACTTCCGGTGTAGGTCTTGGGTGGCTGGTAGGATGTCTGCAGACTTGTGGATGATGAACCTGGGGTTGTTGGTCTGTTTGGCATCATGCCGCAATTTCCCTGTGGAGTCCTTTTTTCTGATGCTACTTTCTGAATTTAGGATGAACTTCCTGTAACTGTACTGCTCATTTCAGTCTCATGATCTCTGCTTTGCCTCACGAGGGTGGCTTGGGATCTGCTTTTACCCTGCCCTAGGTTTAATGTATACTTATCAGTTTGACCTGTCAGTTTTTATTAACAGTGACTGAATATGACTTAGCTACCTGAAAACTTTAAAAGAATTTGTTTTTTAATGAAAAGCTGACAAATTATAGTTATATATGGTTGTTCCTATGTGTGGCCAAAAATTCAGAATCCTTTTATAGCTTTTAGCACAGAGATCACAATTCTTGGCCTTTGCTGTGCTCTCAGGTATAGATTCTGTTCTTGTGCACAATTGAGCTGCAGACAATGGAAGCTGGCCCTGCATGGCTCAGGCCAAGACCACGACTTCCTGTCTCAGGTGACAGCCTTGCGCCCTGCAGGCTAGGCTGCAATGCTGGCCGGCTCACTTCCTGTCTCAGGTGACAGCCTTGCGCCCTGCAGGGTGGGCTGCAATGCTGGCCGGCTCAGCACTCAGCTCTTAGCTCTGCCCTCCCATCCCCTCCACTCTGCCTTCGTTCTACTAAAGAGATGGCATTCTGTCCCAAATCAGCTCTGGTCTGTTCCTCCTTTCAGCTCTCCATCCATCCTGTGGATCCATGGCTGTCCCTTCCTTAGCCACAGACACACAGTCCTGGAATGCCATGAAGAAGCTGCACACATCCACTTTCCACGTTTCCCAGGGCTGAAAGCCACTGTCAGAGTATTGCTGGCAAAGTTCTCGGTGAAGTTCTCTTGTTGCTTTGCAAATGGCTGCTGCCTTCTTTGCTCTCACACTGCAGAAGCAGACAGAGGATATGCGCTCTCTCCTAACAGGGACTAACCCTACCCTCATGAGCTCATCTAACTCTGGTTGTCTCTCAGAGGCTCCGTCTCCAAATGCTGGAGTCAGGGCTTTGAGATGTCCATTGTGGTGAGACACCCGCACATCCCCCAAACAAGACCAGACATAAAGACTTCCAGTGACTTCTGGCCAGGAAAGCAGTTTTCTAGAGTACGAAGAATGTGTATAAAAGCTCTGAGCTGCTGCAGGTTTGGGGGTTTGGAATCTCCTGCGTCCATGTTAATACTGAGCCCTTCTCCTCCTCTCAGCGTCACATGGGAGCCGATGGGAGATGGGAAGAGAGTCATCTCACTGGCAGACAACCGCATCCTGCTGTGGGACCTGCAGGAGAGCTCAAGCCAGGCTGTGGTAAGTGGCATCGCCAGGGGGTTGTCAGACCGTGGGGTGATTGGGGTGGAAGTGGGGGCTAGGTGACAGTTGCAAGGCCCGCCCCCTTCACTGCCTTGTCCCAAGGGAGGCTGCCGTCCTTTTCCGGTGTGTCGTCTTTGTCATGCAGGGTTTCCAGGGTACTGTTGGCTGAAGTTACATTCTCCAGTAGTAGCACTTACAGAAAATGTATTTGCATGAGTTACAAAAATAACTGTTAGCACTTCCTTGGGACACAGTCTTGCTTTCAAATACAAGTTTTTATGAATATTTTGTCTCATATAGGATTTTCCATAACTTTTTTCTTTAGAATGCATTTTTACATGCATCCATAATTTCCTGGCACTTACTTTGTCAAAGCAACAACTTTAGGAGAACAAAAACTCAAGAACTGTGACCTGGCAGTTCTTCTAATGTCACATGTACCGAGGCCCACATTTGTCTCTTCTGCCACAGGGAATTGAGAACCCTGTCTTTGGGTAGTTTTGTTAGAAACAGCCTTCTCTCATGTTTATTTGTTCCTCTGACTTTTACTTAGCTCCTTTCCCTCGTGGTGCTTACTATAGTAATAATAAACCCTTCCCTTACTCCCCTGGTCAAAGAGATGGCAGGATCATGATTTAGCTTTACTAATATGTGGCATAGAAGTCAGACTTTTAAAATATTAAGTAACTTGTTAAAGTTTAAAAACTGAATGGTGCTGGGCGCTGGTGGCTCACATTTGTAATCCTAGGTACTCAGGAGGCTGAGATCTGAGGATTGTGTTTCAAAGCCAGCCCTGGCAGGAAAGTCCATGAAACTCTATACTTTGCTAAACTACTCAGAAAAGTCAGAAGTGGTGCTGTGGCTCAAGTGGTGGTGTGCTAACCCTGAGCACAGAGAGGCTCAGGGACAGCCTCAGGCCCTGAGTTCAAGCCCCAGGACTGGCAAAAAAAAGCCCTGAATGGTCACAGTCTTTAATGTGAAATTAAGAGTTGACTTTTCCTATAGCATTAAAAGTATTTAAGGAAATTATTTTATTAAAAACATGTTAAAACGAGACATACCTCTGTGTTGTGCATCGAATCCATGTTTCACAGGAATGTTTAAAGTAAAGCCCATGGCCAGAGGGAATGCTGCTTGAGATTGGCTGGGCTGGCCTGTAGGCCTGGCTGTGTCCACTTGGGGCAGGGTGCCTTTTTGGAGCTGTGTCTGTCCAGTCACCCCTCAGCAGCTGGGGTTTTAGTGTGGCAAGCTTGGGGCGGGGGTGGGGGGAGAGTCCTCTCCCACTGCATGGTAAACTCACAGAAGGTGGGAGCAACTCTTAGGGGGGAAGGCTGCTCTGGGTCTACAGACTGCTAGGTAGAGCTCCCCAAGCACTCGGGGTGCCCCAAGCTGGGAGCTAGCCTGGGAGTGCAGGCTCCTGAGGCGCCATGCACTAGCTCGGGAAGATTTCACTGTCCAACCTGAGCTGGCCTGCTCTGTGGCTAGCAGCGAACACGGCTTCACACCCAAGTCATTGCTGAAGGGTTTTGAGGTCGGGTGATTAATCTGTAACTTATTTTCTACAGAGATCAATTTGGTATTCTCTGCCCCTTTTTTGTCTGCTGTCAGCAGTTCTGTCAATACCCCTTTGTGACCTGGGCCGTGGCGTTTAATACAGAAACCTTCCATCGATTCCAGCCTCCTCACACCAGCTCCTCCGCTTTTATTGTTTGAGGATATTGCATTGTGTGGTGAATCTAATCTTATGCTCACTGCATCATTACCTTTTGCAATTAAATTGGCGATTCTTTGCCATTTATAATCATTAGCAGAACCCTGGGGAGCCCTGGGGTGGGGGGTCCGGGGGTCCACGGGCCCTGATGGAGGTGGGGTGCCTCCCCATTTCACTCCATGCTCATTCATCTTCACGTGCACCAGCTTTCACCGGCCGTGGACATTAATGGCTTCTGCCAAGGTGGCAGCAAAAGGTATTCTCTGTCCACACACGCGTGCAGTGTCCCTGGAGTGGACCCGGGAGAGCCGGCGTGTGCTGTGTTGGGAAAGAGCTTCACACACACACGACAGTACTTGCGATAGGATTCAGGGCTTACAAGGACTCAGTGGTGTTGCAGGTTTTCTCACAGGAAGTTCATGTGCAGCCCACTCCCCGTACCGGGTATGCTCCATGTGGGAGCCAGTCCCTGGACTGCGTATGCTCCATGTGGGAGCCACTCCCTGTACCGTGTATGTTCCATGTGGGAGCCCCTCCCTGTACCCTGTATGTACCTGCTCTGGAGCATGTATGACCTTTTAGAAATATTTCTTCCTGCTTTCACTTGTCTTTCTATCTTTTACTACAGGCCGTCTCAGAGGAGAAGATTTTGTTTTATAAATAGGCTTTAGAAGCTGGTACTAGTGGCCGAGGTTCAGACCTATAATCCTGACTACTCAGGAGGCCCGAGATGTAAGGATTGTGCTTCGAAGCCAGTCCAGGCAAAAAAGTCCATGAGACTCTTAACCGCCAAAAAGAGAAGAAAAAAAAGTAAAGTGTTAGCCTTGAGCCAAAAAAGTCTCAGGGACAGTTCCCAGGCCTTGAGTTCCACCCCCCGCCCCCCCCCCCCCCCCACGGCTTTAAAAGTAGAGGTATAGCTCAAGTGGTAGAATATTAGCCTTGAGTGAAAAAAAACAAGGGAGAATGTGAGGCCCTGAGTTCAATCCCCAGTTCTAGCATACACAAAAGGAAGGAAAGGGAAGGGAGGAAGGAAGGAAGAAAAGGAAAAAAGGATGATTATAGGTAAGGGGGTTCTATATTTTAGCTGGGTACCTGTGGCTCATGCCTATAATCTTAGCTATTTAGGAGGCTGAGATCTGAGGCTCATGGTTTGAAGCCATTCTAGGCAAGGAAATCTATGAGACTCATCTCCAATCAACCCCAAAAGTAGGAAACAGAGTTGTGGGACACCAGAACCAACACGTCTGGGCGCCGATGTGTTGAGATCACCCAGGTTGTGGAGACCAGAGCAGGTGTGTGGGAGGGTTTGCGGCTGTGGGCCCCAGGCCTCCACGCTCCCCCGCTCCCCCGCTGCCCCGCTGCCCCGCTGCCCCGCTCCCTGCCTGCTGCTCTGCTGCAGCTCCTTGCCTCCCGCACCCAGCGCAGGGCCGTGCTACCTGCACAGCCTCTCCTCACCCACCATCTAGGTGTGCTGGTGCCCTAGGCTCTTGGGTGGGGCCTGTGCCCTGCCCGCTGTGTGCCGTGTACCTGTCCTGCCCCGCTGTGTACCCGCCCTGCCCCTGTGTACCCATCCTGCCCCTGTGTACCTGTCCTGCCCCTGTGTACCCGCCCTGCCCCTGTGTACCTGTCCTGCCCCTGTGTACCTGTCCTGCCCCTGTGTACCCGCCCTGCCCCTGTGTACCCGTCCTGCCCCTGTGTACCCGCCCTGCCCCTGTGTACCCGTCCTGCCCCTGTGTACCC